CTTTTTATAATTTCTTGATTATTAGAATTTTCTTATTATATATAATATATATAATAAGCGGATATTATTCCCCAGCATTTGTTTTTACTTCCCTAATAAGATTATAATCAATATTGTAAATCAAAAAGTTATTTGTTGGGCTCATCGGGCCTAGCCGTTCTATATAGTCTTAGACTGAAGGTGGACGTAAATTCAATCAATCAATCAATCAATCAATCAATCAATCAATCAATCAATAAAAGATTATTGTGAGAAAATAGGGGATGAAGATTCGGATTCTTCGATGATTATACTACCATCGACTTCAGACCTACGGACTAACATCGCAAACGCCTTGTGTGACTTCACGATTGTTCGTAATGGTCACGTCTACAATAGCCATGACATGTTTGAAAGTTACGTACGGCTAGCAAGCATAGTACGAGCTTTTGGAGCAAAAGCATTGGGTTTGAATATTCCGTGGGAGATTTTTGCAGATTGCTGTAAGGGTCGTTTCTCCTCACCCAGACACTTTAAGCAGCGTTATAACGCCATAAAAGTGGGCTGTCACGAAGTTTTATTGGATTCTTGGCTCCTTGATAGCCAATTCAACTATGAATATGAGTGTCATTTGGAATATGCCTTTCATCTCCAAGAAACAATGACGGCGCGATGGGATGATTTTTAAGAAATGGGATTGGCATCTACGACGATCACACCAGGTACGAAGAAGAACTTGAAATGCTCATGAAGATTGAGGTAGATGCGGTTAGTATAGGATTGTAAGAACTTTATGTGCAGATTCAGTATTTTATGTCAAGTAGTGTCTACGTCCAATTTGGTTGTTTCCTTACAAATATATCAGGACCAAGCTTGAACGCGTTGACGGCTTCCCAATACTAGCTGAATAGGTCATTTTTTTTTGGTTTAGAACATGTCTCCGTTTTATTTCTTTGCACATTCCTCATGATATGCAGCTTTACACTATTCCAGATGCTATATTCAGGGGTACAATGGAAATAAATCATTGAATGAAGTATTCGAGTATCTACAATACAAAATGACCGATAACCAAAAACAAGTATAGCTTCCCCCCCAATACTTTCTGACTCACTTGTTAAAATCCTTTTCTCATTGTAACAATACATTTATGTTCCTTTGGCGCAATAAAAAAGAAGTTTTCAATATCCATGCCCTCATCATTTTGACTCGAGGCAATTCTAATTCCTTTGCACTCCCTGAAAAATAAAGCAAGAACTAGCTGAATTTCCATTCTCGCTAAATGAATCCCAATACATGTGCGTGTTCCTGCACCGAATGCGTGATTCGCCGTTTTGAAATCGTCTGATTTGGGACCTAGCCAGCGTTGGGGCTTAAAGCTATATTAGACGGACCATGAGTTAGCTACTTGTTCTGTAGAAAGAGTGGATTACAGGCAGTTTCCAATTGTCTGGGCCGTAGTCCAACGATTCAAGGCTTTTAATCTGCGAATCCGGCCATGGAAACTGACTACGGCTCGGAATAGTGGTTCTGGAGGAAGGCGATGATACGAGATTGGGAATCAGGTGAATGGAGGGATAGATACCTTTCAGGCTCTGGAAAGATTTCCGGATCCCGATGGATTGTGTAAGCTTGCGTGGAAACTGTTAAGGATCCAGGAAGGAAGTATCCATCTAATTCAATACCTTCTTGAGGAACCACTCTAGGAAGACCCCCAGGCGCTGCCCCCCATAGCCTCAATCCTTCCTCCATAACTGCATTCAAGAACGGTAATCCTTCCACATCCTTAGATTCGAAATCGTTGCCTAAAGTGTCAACCTCATCTTCTAGTTGTCTCCGCAATTCAGGATTTTTCAAAATGTTATATAGCAGAAAAGTAAGTGTATTAGCAGTTGTATCAGTCCCCGCTACAATAAAGTTCGCGGCTTCCTGTTGAATGTCAAAATCTGACAATGATCCCTCCCCATTCTCAGACTTTGCTTGGGCGAGTATCTTGCGGAATATATTAGGAGTAGCATCACTCTGTGATTTTGCATTTCGGACAGCTATTGATGCATGATCTCTCAATCGATCATCAGGAGTCTTGAGGAAAGAAAGACCTGACATCCTTCCAATTTTGAAAAGCCCAGGGAATTCGGCACGGATACCAGCTACAGTTGTCACCTTTTGAAGATCTTCGATGTATTGAGTTTTCTAGAGTTGAAATGAATAATTAAGCAAACTGTAGAAAGGGAAGAACTTACCCGTTCCTTTTCTAGTGTTCCAAAACTCTCTCCAAAACAGAGATGCCCTATGACATCTGTAGCCATAAACATGAAGAATTTCAAGATGTCTACTTCTCCTACCAAAGCATCTCTTTTGATTTTCTCCACCGCCATATTCGTCTTCTTCCTAATCTCGCTCTCCCAAGTTACTTTCAAAGAGCTCTTACTGAAAGCATGCGAAAACATTTTGCGACGGACACCATGGTCTTTTACATCAATCATGCTAAAAACACCTACGGGTCCATTCACAAACTTCTGATACCATGTAGACTTGACAAAAGGTTTGGAGATGCGGTGGATAGTTTTGAAAGAAGGAAGTGAAGAACATGATACTTCGTTTGGAGTAATGAGGACTATGTGTCCATAAGCTTGATGGAGGGAATGAACGTATTGAATACGACGACCAGTGAATACATAGTATTTAAGAACGAGATTGGTGAACCGCGCATACCATGGGCCGGGAATCTTGCGCAGAGGTGTGAGGTATGCTTGAAGAATAGCCTGGACGTGTTAGTATATAGAACTTGGTATCTTAAGGATTGTTCATACTTTGACAAAGAACGCGAAAAAGATGAGGACAAAAACTATTTGGGCTATCTGACGAGACTCAAACCAGACAAAGAAGTCCATGTTGAGCTGTGCCATATCAAAAGAGAAGATTGAAATCGTTGACTGATATCGAATATGACATTGAGGACTTCATCTTTATATAGGAAAGTGAGAGAGATCAGGGCCATCACTCCACCATTGCCATGACTTTGTTTCCATAAAATATAGTTTGAATGTTTGGGAGTACAGTGTACGATACAAACCCTCTAAAAGAATCCTGTGCATAAGATTAACTCTTTATGAGTATAAATTTGCAGATCTTTCAATTATGTGTATTCTTATCAAGCCAATAAAACCGTCAGGATATAACTATCATATAATAGATATATCAAAATTTGAATTGGTATTTATTAAAGTAAAACAGTTACAGAAATATGACCTGATTGGGAGCAATCGGGAGCAGAATACTATTAGACAGCGACTAGTGGGTTACCTCGCTACAGAAATACCTCCCTACAGAAATACCTCCCTACAGAAAAACTTGGCTATACCGGACTGGGATATACCGGAATCTTGGATATACCAGAATAATTTCCTGATTTGACCACTTTTTATATGAGAATATCGGATTTTTAAGCAAAACCGATATACCGGACACTTTTTTTACAAATCCAGTATAAATTTTAGTGGTAGATTTGGTTGAATAAGCTGAATTTTGGATGAGTAAGCTTGATTGGCTATCATCATATGATATTTTTTGAAAATATCGGGGTTTGGAGCTGAAATCGGATATAAATTTTGGTTAGGGAGCTTGAACCACTATTTTTTATACCGGAATCATGGATATACCGGATTTGATTGGTCGAAAATTTCAGTCCGGTATAACCAAGTTCTTCTGTATATCTGCGGAAAAGCTCACCAAACTCGTATCCTTATAGAGAGGTTTTACTGCAATTGGAATGTCTGCAGAGTACAATGTAACGTCTTGGAAGATGCCATAACTGCAGGACAATCCAGTATCCATCGTAGGCCGTGAAATAAGACATCGTACGCACTAAGCTGTTACGATCCTTGACTTCATGCACATCGTGATTGGTTTTCCCATCAAACCTCGCTTCAAAAAGTGAAATCTTCAAGATCCAATGCAATGCAATGCGACAGCTCAGGAATCCATCCAATATCATTCGACAGGTTAAGGTGCAATCTAATGCAATGTATGTATGGTGGACTTAATACGGCAGGACTAATACGAGGGCCTGTTTCTAAAGAATGCCGACTTTCTGTAAGCGAAAATATCAATCTTGAATAAATTATTATTGTTAGAATCAATGCAAGGTGACGACTAGTATAATATAGGTATAGGCCTAATAATAAGACTTTTCATTAATCCTTTCAAAACCTTTCTTTCGAAGCTATATATATGCGAAAACTCTTCGCTTCCGGACTAATAGTCGGCCCGATATCGATCCTACATCGATGCCCGTAACAATTATCTCATATATTATAAGTTAATATAATAATACAACGTTCATTGAAAAACTCCCTATTTTTATCGATTTTATAATACTTTATTATCTTCTTAATCTATTAATAGTATTTCTAATAATTTACATTGAATATTTGATTTATTATTTAATTATTAAAAACTAGAGAATCTTATTATCGATATTTTTCTTACTGGTGCACGGACCCGGCATTCAATAAAAACAGGCCCTCGTAGTTAGAGGTGAAAAAGCCGAGTGAAGGGAAGGAGTGGGGTTAGCTCGGACTCCGTCCAAAACTCCGTCGATTGGCGCCTAAATTCATTAGGGGAGAGTAACAGTTACATGCGCCCATACAATTGCTGGCATGATCAAACGGAGAATTGAATTAAAGTGTTGCGATGTCATGTTTCAGTATGACGTTCTCAAGTGCCGATCCAAACGGGCTGTTCGAGCACTAATAAAGTCCGCGATTGATCTACCCGTTGGAGTACAATTCCCGCCTCGAAGTAGAGCGGTACCCCAGGTTTTGATTATGAAGCTCCTTTTTCCTTTTGCTGTTTCTATTCAATGGAGTGTGAAGTGTAGCAAAATTGACAGTGGTCTATGCTAATAGTCGTGCGCCATCCTGGATCAGTCTAATTTGATGAATGGTGAAGGTACAAGCCACCAAAGCATAGGTATGGCAACTCAATGCTCTATACCGATGAAGCTAATCTAGTCTAGCTCATAGTTCATCTCTATGAATACCCCCACTATCATTTTCGAAAAAGGTATTGATGGATTCTAGAATGGTATTAGATACGAAGGCTTCGGATTGACGATGAGCGCGTTAAATTTTGGGGTACTAACTAAGATTTACCACTAGAATGTCTACTTCCAAACCGACCAGACCCGATTTCGACAGTTTGCCATCACTAACCGTCCAGCCCGATTCTCCATACAAAGTCTGATTTAAGGAAACCACGTTTCCCGGCAAATTTACCGAGAGCTCATCTACAGATTCAACATACTCTCCATTAACAATACCAACCATCATCTGCTCTCCTACAATCCACGCACTTACATCTAATAAACCACTTCCTAGTCCTTTAATTGCCTTCGTCCCAAACAAGAAATCAAGTGCAGTTGAATTCTGCAACACCTTGCCCAAATCTGCACTCCCAGCGTTGGCAGAATCTGTACTTGGATAAATCCAATACGTAATTCCCTTCGCATCATGATTAACGCTCAACATCATCATTACTTCTACTTCTGCTGCACTCGGTATGCTTTTCCAATACTGCGATTCGCCAAACGCTTGGACTACTGACCATGTAGGTTTATCTAGGCCTCCTTGAACACCTGGTCCTATATTTGCTTGATAGTTTTGAATATCATCAAGTCGAGTCGCTACGTCTTCTAGTTCTCCAACACAATTATCACACCCACAATCTCCATAACTTTCATTGCAAGGAGTTCCCCACGGAATGGACCAAGTGGCATTTATCGCAACCGGGTAGGCGTCTTGAAATATTATATCTGCACCAGCTGAGTATTCGGGGTAGTAGAAATTCTGGCAATTGAGGACCAGACTGACGGGATGGTACGGGTCTAGTGATTTAAGTTGTGAATAAGCAATTTGGGTAGAGTTAAGAGAATATGCCCATCCATCCGGTTCATCGGCGGTATACCAAGACAGGAGAGTAGTTCTGTTTTGCCAGAGAGCTACTTGTTCCGAGATGCGTGTCGAGTTTTGGAACGCGAATCGCATATCGTAGAGATTGAAAAGGTTCAGCTGATCCATTTTATCCCAATACTCTATGAGTTGTGCAGTGGGATAAGATTGGTCAGGAAGACCACCGTCTGGAACGATATTTATGGTGTTGAAACCGAGTGCTGCATATGCCTCGAGATTGGCCAGCGAGACGTTGTCGGGCGTTACATAAGAACCGTCGGCGTAATATCCATTTGGAAAGATTGCATACCAACCATCCCAGTCATTTTTGTCATTTTGAACATAGAGTCCCCCATAGAGGTTATCAATTTTCACAGCACTACCATATCCACGTGATGGTAGTACATAGAAATTAGTGCTTGCAATATAAGTTTGTTGACCGTCAGGAGAGGTGGCATGGATCGAGACTGCAAAAGGCTGTAATCGTGCAGTAAATGAAGAAAAGGAAAATTCAATTAGATTTCCAGTTGAGTTCACGGGAACCTTATTGGTGACAAGTAAGTCACCTGACTCTTCGTTGTAAATTTCAATATCAAGCGTCGTGAAAGGCGAGCTAATATTGCTTCCAGGTGTATTAAAAGTAGCATTTTTATAAGATCCGCCAAAGACATGGGATATACTGGCATCAATAATGAAAGTTCCTTCTTCGTCACTCTCAAGGAAAATTGAGTATCGAGGTTGTATCGTTACATAGAGTAGCGGATCGTACTGAGGTTCTGGGAATTTGAATTGCCCTCCTGGATCTAACGAGTGGTTTCTAACAAATGTCAGCAAACTCGCGACACGGGACCCTATCACAACTCACGTGCTCATGTACGGCTTTCCGCACCAGGTTGGGACATCGGATGGGGCATTGAAAGCGACAGTCTGAGATATAAAAGTCAAGAGGAAAGGAAGATACATGGCGAAGTTTACTTCTAAAAAAGAGGAAAGTTAAACAAAAGAGGCGTGAAATTGAAAGGTCGTGAGAAGCCATTATACTCATATGTACGACAACACGGTGGAACTTTTACCCCTCTTCGTCACACCTGCCCAATCAGGACGAAATGCAGATCCATGTCACGTGTTATTGTTGCCATCGTCTCTCCACTGAAAAGCCGGGCCGGGGTCGCCAGGGTCTGCGATAAGAACTCGAGAGTTCTGTCGGCTCGCTTGAGTTGTGACCACAGCCAACATCAGTCAACACAGTAAATCATCAGTGGGTACGAGCGATAGACCAACAAATTATCGCCATGATCCATGCCTAGATACGTGAAAGGAAGGTTGGTATCTAGGATCGAAGCAGCCGCTTAAGTCAAACAAGCCTTGACAAGCTTCGATGGCTTCGATGTTCCTTGCACATGCATTGGAGCTATCTCTCCGCATACAGTGAGATAAGGCGACTCGACTCCCCAGGCACAAGATTTTCCTATCACTCGGTTTCACGCTGAGATAAGAAACATAATTATAAGCCTTATTCTTATGCTTTGTTTCAATTTTCAAGTCGAACGTAAAATTCTCGCAGCAGCATCGAAAGACGTATCTCTGAGCCTTACTGACGTCCACCGGTTGAAAATAGTAGTCAACTAATCTTATAGAATTTGAGCCTGCAATGGCGGAGACAATACTGGCCCGAATAACACGCCCAAGAGTTTCGGGCTCGTCATGGGTAGTATCAATCCTCCTAGTCCTATGTTCGTGCATCACGTCAACTACTTTTGGTTACGATGGGTCGATGATGTTAGTCTCCCCGATAAATCCACTTTCCACCGTAGTTCATTCCTTGATATTCACAAAAACATAGGAACGGACTCAATATACTCCCCAGCTACACAGATTATTTTAATCTGAACACCGCAACTCTTTCTCTGAACACAGCCGCGCTCTGGATTGGTGGCGCTATTGCTGGTTTGACTTATGGACAAGTAACCGATATCATCGGACGCAGATATGCATTGTTCTGGGCGGCAGTTGCTACATTCTTGTCTGTTATCCTTCAGACGGCTGCGCAGAATACTGCCATGTTTGTAATAGCTAGGATTTTAGTCGGTTATGGAACTTCGGCCTCGACTCTTACGGGGCCGACGTATGTTGCTGAGACACTTCCTTACAATTGGAGAGCCTGGGGACTAGGAGTGTTGAACGATTGTTATTATGTTGGTACGAGCTTTGATTGTTCATTATAAAACCTAACATCTAACAAACAGTAGGGGGACTAATTGCAGCTGGTGTGACGTATCGGACAGCTACCTACAACTCGACCTGGGCATGGAGAGTCCCTTCATTAGTCCAAGGGATCTTTAGTATTCTTTGCATTGCCATTTTGCCATTTGTGCCAGAATCACCTCGATGGCTAGCATATGTGGGGCGGACAGAAGAGGCGCTTATCGTTATAGCTCAGACTCATGCAAATGGAGATACCTTAAATCCCATTGTGCTTGCGCAATACAAGGAGATTATTGACACGATAGAATATGAGAGAAATGTTGGTGAGACTTTGAGTCTAAAGCAGATGGTTAAAACACCAGTTGCAAGAAAGAGAGTCTCTCTGGCAATCTCAGCTGCGGTAATCTCAACTATCTCAGGTGGGTACTTGATTTCATCTATCGTCGAATATGACTTTGACTTTGATAGGAAACGTAATCGCAAGTTACTACTTGGGAACAATGCTTGACAATGCCGGCATCACTGATACCACCACGCAACTTCAGATTGTGAGATTCCTAACCTTATAATGTTAATAAGGAGTATTGACCTTTGGCAGAATATAATCCTCAATGCTTGGTGCCTCTGTTGTGCTTTGGTTGGAACATACTATGCCGACATACTTGGCCGGCGTCCAACTGCTATCATAAGCACATCGCTTCTGACAGTTTTTCTCTTCATTGTCGGTGCCCTTACCAAAGGTATGATCTTCACCTCTCGAGTACCCGCACAATTTTTTGACATGTAGAAAGTATATGGGACATCAACAAACAAGTCCGGTGTATATGGGACAGTTTCTGCGATTTTCCTCTTTCAAGGAGCTTACTCTTTCGGCTGGACACCACTTCTCTACTTGTACCCCCCAGAAGTACTCAATTATCCCATCAGAGCCAATGGAATGGGCCTCTTCACTTTCGTGCTCAATGGTGTTGCACTCCTGATTGTATTCTCATTTCCGTTTGCGCAAGAAGCTATGGGCTGGAAAATATATATGATGAATGGCGCGTGGGATGTCTTGGAGGTGGGATTGATCTGGAAGTATTGGGTAGAGACGAGAGGAAAAACGCTCGAGGAGATTGATGAATTATTTGAGGGTACTAAACATTCAGATGCACCTGACCTGGAACGCATCGTACAAGACGAAACGCAACCAGAAGAGGGTATTTCTGACAGCATCGAAGTTCTAGCATCCGGGAAGAGTGTTTAAAATGAGGTAAACTTCCGGAACAGTTAAGATATTGATTGTTGTGAAGTCATCGACAATCAATCTACAGTGCTTTGTAACATAGTGAAGAAAGCCTAGATAACTAGATACCTACAAAGCTAGGTAATTAATAGAGAAATCCGAATTGCCATTATATTATTGGTAGAACCCCTCCTTTAGAATAAGTCCAGAGAACATGTAGAACCATTATGTATACCTGAATTGAATCACAAACACCGTGGCAGCTCAATTAGACAAAACTATTTTCCGAGTTCTCAAAAAGTTCAAAAAGTCAAATAAATCAAAACCACCAATAAATTGAAAGAACGGGAAACCAATAAATTGAAAGAACGGGATAAAGTTGATTCAATCCAGAATTAGACAGGGCCCCCCGCAGAGGAAATTTGCAAGCCTTCATCCACCCCAAGAAGAGAAAAATAATATAAGGCTAATCAAAGTCGTCCCATTTTTGCAACAAATCCGATGGGAGAACTCGATTTCCTTCTCCAATTTGTTTCGTCACACGCAGTGGACCCTTACCGTCCCAACTAATCTCCACACGATCATCTTTGGAATCTTTTATGACTTCTAAAATTCTCTTTAGAAGAACATGGAACTTGCTCAACAAAGTAGCATGTTCTTTTTCCCATTCTAGGACCTTGTCCTTAACGTTCGATACTTGCGGGTTGTCGAAGAGTCCAGATTTGTGATAGGCAATCAAGAAGTTGGGAGTCTGATTAACCCAAAGTCGAGGAAGAATCTCTTCCATGTCAAAGGTTTTTAAGTGACGTCGAGTCTTCATATCAAAAATCTGACTCTGGGACTTTTTGACGCCTTGCATTCGCAGTTCCAGCTTCGAACTATCGGATACCGCCGTGGTGTTACCTACTTCCAACTTGGCGAATGATTGATCGATCGATGCCTGTACATTCTCCTCTGATCCTGACGAGGTAGTTGCATGTGGCTCTTGCTTCTTAAGATACCCATCAGTCTCGCTACGAACCAAAAGATGAAGATCCGCAAAATCATACTCAATTATCCGCTGATGTGAGCAAGAGCCACCAACATCTCTGTCCCATGTAGTATATCGTTCCGGAAATGTATGACCGTAACCTCGGAGGTCCTCAATGGTTTCTGTCGGACTTTTTCCTTTTCGGATGAAGAAAACGGTGTCTCCGACGAGATCTGCATCAAATCGGAATGGCATATCCAACGAGCCTGCAAATCGTAGTAGATTTCCAATTGTAGACCCGCATGCCACCAAATCTACATCCTGCAGCTTGAAATCCGGTTTAAGAGCCAAAAGTGATCGAACGACAGGCTCCATGGGATAATTAGGATATCGAGCAGCGTTGATATCGCGATATACAGCTCCACTATCTTCAGGAAGCTTCTCATCTTGAGTGGGAGGAGACCAAGCTGGAGGGGAACCTGTTCCTCACGTGTTAACAATTAAGTACGCTAGGGTTTAATTCATGAACAATCGAGAAAGTATGCTTCAAACAGCAGCTGCCTCTCGATGCCGGTGTTCCTCGATTATGAGAATAATCTTTTGCCTACCTGGTACAAGAATTATGGGACTTTTTCCATCGACCCAGTTGTAAGAAGCGACATAGTTGACATTTTCAATTATGGGAGCATCTTCTTCAATCAACAGATTTGATATATTGATGCTGTCGATCTCTGGTCCAAACGGCTTATCCGATACTGGCGGAAGAACATGAGACGCTGAGCCTTGCCTGAAGCCCCCACGAGCCCCACTACTCACACCCCAGTTTCTTCTTCTATAATTGCTATCTTTGTACGACAACATGATCGATTGCAATTATCGCAAGTACCAACTGAACGACGATTTCTACTGATTATTGATTTTCCGATATGAAGAGGTTCCTAGTATCAGGAATATATCGAGTCTGGAATGCTCTGATCATGATTGAGGAGTACGTCCATTTGTAAAGGCAAAAGCAAGAATCAACCTCACAATGTAACCCTGTGTCCTCCCAAGAAGCCCATTGGCTTTGCCATCTTCTTTCTGTGCCTCACAGCGCATAGCAAACGGAAATGCCTTGCCATTTGGTTTCAGTGTATGCCGGTCACCTTCATTGGCCCGCAGGACCTGCCATTTATATGTCGCTTCACAGAGAGAAAATAATGGATTGGGCAGCAAACCTTCTCCCGCGAGGTTTCCCATTTATGCAGCAGGCCGTAAACCGATAGCATCTTCTATCACTCGATGTAATGATGCATGTCCAATGCCGCTATAGCAGTGTCTATCAGAAAAAAAAGAATCTTCGAGCGTTAAAGTTACCCTGTTTGATGCTTTTCATAATCCTAAACGAAGTCGTTTGCAGGATCCACATCTTAACTTCCAAAGCTTCCTATAATAATATCAGCTCTCTGCAATATTAATTCGACAAATTTCTTATTATGATTTTATAACAAAAATTCTTTCTCTCCATCATTGTTCAGAATCTTCATGGCTTCCCTTATTGACGACCCTCGCGCTGTTCGCCTTGATCGTTTTTTCCATGACGTTATCAATGGACGCAGGGCCCTATCCTCAGTCCGAGATGGGAGAACATTTATTGAAGCAATCTGCTCTCAGAAAGATCCAGCAACAACAGCATATAAATTGTTATCTGGACCATCGGGCCTTGATGCAATCCAAGCTTCGATGCGTTTTGACACCACACCCTCGTTCCTCAATGAAACATCTCTACTCTTACTTCAATATTTACAATCACCACCCTTGAAAGCCATTAACTCCGGATTAAGTTTATCAGAGCTTATTACCGCGATAGCCGAACCTCCCTTTTTCTGGGACGGATTCATGAAAGCTTTCAAGACTGGTCAACTGAATGAACAGGCATCCCATGCATTTGCATGGCTTCTACTCGAGCTTATCAATCGTCCTGGCAAATCACCAACTACTTACATCCTTGTGGCGAGATCTCCCGGTATCTTAGATGCGATTTTAACATCTGCCAATGGAGATTGTAGAAATTTGGGTCAGAAAATCAAGCACACTCTATCCTTAGATGCATCCGACCTTGACAAAGACCTTGACTCTGGGCCCGGTGGAAGACACAACAATGACCATGCGAACCACCGAGATATTTCAATCATGCCCACGGCAGATGAACTTCTGTCTAAGGAACGACCGTTTCTACGTACCCCAGACACGTATCTCAAAAATGTAGATCCCACTCGACTGGGAATCCACATTGATAATCAATTTCGACTCCTTCGTGAAGACATGCTGGGCGAAATCAGGGATGAGGTACAGAAGCTCCAAGGCTTGAGATCAGGGTACCATCGAGGGCTAACATTCGACAACATTCGAGTGGTGGGCATACATATTAAAGGAGACAAATTTCGTGAGCCATGGGGCCTCATGTTTCAATGCCAGGATGAGCTACAGCCTTTGAAGAAAATAGATCCTAATGATCACAGCAAGCGTGTCGGTTATCTCAAGGAAAACAGGAATATTCTTAGGCAAGGAACGATTGGGTGCTTGTTTGTTGATGGTGAACCTGTCGCATTCCCATCTATCGATAGGAACGAGGAGGAACTGGCAAAAAAACCTGCTAATATTGTTCTGCAATTTCAAGATGAGACGACTGTATCAAGAACTTTGGTGAAACTTAAGGTGGCTCAAAAGATCAAACTGGTGCAAATGGACACATCAATCTTCGGCTTTGAACCATTTCTCAAACGCCTAAAAGATATGAATGATGTTCCTTTGGCAGAGAAGCTTCTTTCATGGAGTGAGGACCAGTTCAATTCTGGCCCGCCATTCCAGCCCTTGCAATTGAAAAAGAAGATAGAAAAAAGCTCCGGGAAAGACATGAGTTCTCTTCTCTCGACGAAAAAGCCGATTGTTCTTGATGACTCTCAAATCCAATCTCTACTTGCTATTTTATTCCAAAGAGTCAGTTTGATTCAAGGGCCTCCAGGTATGGATCTCCTCATTTCGTCATGCAGGGGAAGAAGTAGGCTACATACTAAAGCGATGTGCTTGGGACTCATGGCACTTTTCGATGTCCAAACTCAAAAATGACAATCATATTGTCGCATTCCATTTCTATTACGTTTCGCATTGATATATGTACCTAGGTCGCAAGTTGCAAATAATTATTAACAAATATCAACAGGCACAGGAAAATCATTCATTGGAGCTCTAGGAGCAAAAATAATTCACAACTTCACATCTGAACGAATTCTAGTCGTGTGTTACACAAACCACGCATTGGATCAATTCCTCGAGGACCTTATGGATATTGGTATACCACCTTCTGATATGATACGACTCGGCGCAAAGTCTACCTCTCGAACACAGTCGTTATTACTCAGCAAACAAGGTTCATCAAAACTTGATAACTCCCAATGGAATCGAATCGGGAAACTAGAAGATAGTCTGCGTCTGCACGAGGCGCGTTTGAAAAGTGCTTTTACAAGATACAACTCTGCAAATGTGAGTAAGCAACAAATTTTGGATTACCTTGAGTTCCTGGATGATATGCCATTTTACGATACATTTCTGGTACCACAAACAACCACGAATGGTATGACGAAAGTTGGGAAGAAAGGTAAAGCTGTGGATAAGTTCTACTTACTTGATAGATGGACCAGAGGGCAGATGAATGCCGGATCCTTTCAACATTTACAGCACAAGAACTCAAGAGCTGTGTGGAGTATCAGCCCGGATCAGAGGGTAACGATGATTTCAAGTTGGAAGTCGGCTATTATAGAGGAGATGGTTGCAGAATTGGATAAAATCGGAAAACAGTTCAATGCCGAACAAGCAGAGAAAAACGAGCTTGTTGGACAAAGAGATGTGAACATCATCAAGTCAAAGAGAATCATTGGCTGCACAACTACTGCAGCTGCAAAATACTCCAGCGCAATTCAAGCAGCTTCTCCTGGAGTCTTGTTAGTTGAGGAAGCCGGAGAGATTCTCGAAGCTCATATTTTCACAGCTTTGGGGAGGAATACTGAACAGCTGATCCTCATTGGAGACCATAAACAACTTCGTCCAAAGTGCAATACTTACGGCCTCAAGGTTGAACAAGGGGACGGATACAATCTGGACATGTCTTTATTTGAAAGACTCGTACTTGACGGCTTCCCGCATGTTACTCTGACAAAACAGCATCGTTCTCGACCGGAGATATCGTCAATTATTAGACACCTTACCTATCCAGACCTAGTTGATGCCGATTCGACAAAAGATCGGAAAGATCTTCTCGGTTTTAGAGACAATCTTATCTTCGTAGACCACACGGCTCCGGAACATGATGTGAGTGTGAGAGAGATGCGGGACAACGTGGACTCTACATCTTCCAAAAAGAACGATTTTGAAGCCAGCATGATACTCAAATGCGTCAAGTACCTTGCTCAACAAGGATATGGCTCGGACAAGTTGGTTGTCTTAACCCCCTATGTAGCTCAGCTTAGACTGCTGCTCGAGAAACTTGCGAAAGAGAATGATCCCGTCCTCAACGATTTGGATAAATTCGATCTCATCCGTGCTGGACTGTATATTGATACTGGCGCCAAAGCTTCCAAGCCATCACTACGGATTTCTACTGTTGGTAAGTTTGACCTTCTCTTCTGCCTCGCCCTTACACTTGGGGCATCTAAAAATAGTCCGAGCTGTAATCCAACAATTTTGATCTTTGAAGTTCCAAATTCAGTTAAAGTGTTTGACTGACTATGAGTATCGCATTTTTCTCAAAATCTGAGACATAATCTCTCTTCTTTTGAGAAAGACTACTCAGACCCTGTTTATGATTGCATTTTTCAACTAGGATAGCCAGTGTTACAATGGCTTTCTATCGTTCAATCCATTTCACTAATTCTTTTTGGTCTTCATTTCCTGCTTCCCTTATTCGATGTCAAGATATTCATGGTTTACCACTAATTATGACATAGATAACTACCAAGGTGAAGAAAGTGATATAGTCCTCGTTTCTTTGACCAGAAGCAACTCTAGACACGACATTGGATTTATGTCGCAACCTCAACGCCTGAACGTTCTAGTGTCTCGTGCTCGAAATGCGCTGATCATGATTGGTAACTCCGAAACCTTCATACATTCTCGCAAAGGAAATACCTTATACAAGAGTTTCTTCGACTTATTGAAAGGCTCAGGCCATTTTTATCCTGGCTTCCCTGTAAAATGCGCGAATCACCCTGATCGAATGGCAACTTTGACCACACCGGAACATTTCGAAGAATATTGCTCAGATGGCGGGTGCAATGAGCCTTGGTTAGTCCCACCAATCTTTAAATCGACGCGGACATTCAAAAAGCTAATTTAAAACCCCACAGTGGTGCTTTATTGATATGTAATACTCATCATTGCCCTAGCAAATGTCATCAGGTTTTCGACCACTCTAAAATGTTATGTAAGGAGATCTTACAGCAAAAGTGTCCCGAAGGACACACAATCAAATCAAAATGCCATGAAAATCTTCCACTAAAATCATGTCCCAAATGCGAAAAGGAGAAACGAGATGCTGCCAAACAAGCAAAGAAAGAATTAGACGAGCAATTGCGACGAGAGGAAATGAGACAAAAACATCAGAAAGAGCTTGAAAAACTCCAGAAGGATTTCGATAGGGTACATCAAGAGATCCAAGACTCCCAGCTGAGATCAGAACAAGAAGCTGTTCTAGCACAGAAAAGAAAGGATCTATCTACCATCAAAGACCGTCTAATTCAAATGCAGTCGAAACCGGTGGTGGTCAAATCGACATCCACTACCACGAGTAAGCCACCGGCTCCTACTGCTTCTTCTCCCGTCATTCC